GTATTTTTAGTCTTTATGTTACAGTTAAAATATATGTTTATCAAATAAAGTCTAATGTTACAACTAATCAGGGATCCCTTTAATAAGTGTTATGTTTAAATGTACTCTACTGTGTTGTGTCCTTGTTGTAACATGTTCTGACATTTTATGATGTAGTGTTGCCACTTACCCAGTTCATCACTGTACTTGGGACCATCGATAGATGAAGCGGTACTTTTTTAAAACTCTTGTTAAATGATACATGGAATGAGTTTAACAGTTGGGAAATTTGCCGTCTCTCTGTCAGGTTTACCTGACGCTGGGTGCAGCACCAGATCCTGGGCGGGGCTTCCTGATTGTCCACAGAGATGGAGGAGTGTGTAGATCCGCTGGACAGAGACCACTCCCTGTGTGTGGTTCTCCCCGAGGGGTTGAAGAAGAACATCACGGTGCATGGAAGGTATTAACAGCCACAGTCCTAAGACACATCCACGTATTTCCTTTAACCATGATGAAACTCTGCTCTCAGTAAGCCAGTGATGGACGTCCTGGTGATGCTCTGCGCCAGTTACCGCCTGAACCTTCCTGACTACACCGTCGAGTTCCTGTCGCCCAACAAGAACAACATCAGCTTCAAGCCCAACTCTCCCATCGGCTCGCTAGAAGCCGAGCAGATCGTGCTGAAGCCCAAAGGAGCTGAGGAGAAACCAAAGAAGCTGTACGTACCCGAGGTAAGGGAGGAGAACGACTGCAGATGAGGAGCATGAACCTGAGCCTGAACGCTGGTGTCTCTGCGCAGGCCACTGTACGTCTCCTGATAAACTACAACACGTCCCACAAGACGGTGCTGAGAGTGAATCCCAGGCTTCCTCTGCAGCTGCTGCTGCCAGCCGTCTGTGACAAGTGTGAGTTCAACATGGAGACCACCGTCCTGMTGAGGGACTCCCAGTCCAGAGAGCTGCTGGACCTCACCAAGAGCCTGAATGACTATGAGCTGAGGGAAGTGTTCGCTGAAGACACAGCAGCTAAAGACACCACAGATCATCAGCCTGAAACAGGTACATTAAAGACCCCTGTGGTAAAGTCAGGCTGGTTTTATGGCTACGGCTGGGTGAAATCATATCGTGTGATTATTCATCAGAAAAATAGTTTGATCAATAAC